CATAGCCTCACTGACTTCCCTGGAGCGATACTGATTTACACCAGCCTCTAATGTAGCAGCAGCACCAGCAGCGGAGGCCCACAACTCTACTGCTTTGTGTGTGTGTGTCGGCGAAGCAGGGTGCAGCTGGGTTAGCCCGTGGAGGGGACCACACCATGGAGAAGGCCAGCATTCCTCGGGGAGAGCAGGGTAGGTGGCTCTTCTCCCACAGAGTCAGTGTTCTGTTCTATTCCGGTTCTTGTACTGTGCCCATCACCTTGGTATCTGAGCGCCTCACTGAGGGTGCAGGGGACCACGTCCCCCAAACAGGCATGGCAGTCGCACTGGGTATGGTAAAGGGCTTTATTCCGGGGAGAGTCCATAGAGAACTTCACAACTTAGGGATATTCTCAGCCCCAGCCTGCACTGTCCTGTTAATTAACGACACACCTGAACTCCTTACCCTCGTCTGTCTGGAATCAGTTGCCCTTCGGCTCCCCCATAAAGGGATGTTGGGAAGCGGACACTGTGTTGCTGGACATCGTGATCTCTGGGAGGCATTAAACATTCCCTGGCATTCATCGTAAGAGCAGGAAGGTCCGCCTCAGTGTTCTGTAGTTATTCGTATTGTGCAGCCGCTTCGGAGCCTTGTTTCCTGGCACTTCCCCATCTGTCTGTATCCGGCTGTTCTTGCTTGTCTTATCCTGAGCTTGTCATCTCTGTGCGGCAGGGACTGTCTATATGGGCTGTGTTTGTACAGCTCCTGGCACAAGGGGATCCTGGCCTCTGGGCGCTACAGCCATTCAAATCTTAAATAATAATAATAGGAGCCAGGTCATGACTTCCTGCCAATCTGATCACCTTACAAAGATGCAGTTGCTTATGATAGTTTTCTTCGCCTCCTGCCCTAACCTGTTGTGTAGCATGGCTATGCACTACCTCACTCCACCCCAGAAGTGGCTGCATTTGCATGGGGAATGAAAGGACCCTATATAGTCTTTAGAGCTCTGTAAATGTGAACGGCTGCTGCCGTTGCTTCAGCAGCATCCGCTGAGCGAGGGTGGAGGAAACCAGTGTGCACGCAGCAAAGCCAGGCACTGGCAGATGCAGAAATGTCAGCAGCCGAGAGAGCTGGGGTGTGGCAGAAATGCTACTGGCAGGGAAGAGCCTCGCTTCTCGCCCACGCAGGCTAGCTGCCAGCACACGTGGGCTTTCCGGCGTGGCTCCAGCAAGCCATTCTAGCTCCAGCGTTCTCCCCCACCCCCATGTCTGCTCCAAGCTGAGTGCTACCTCTGCTGCTGGTACTAGCACACGGAGCAGATTGCATGGGTGCACAGATCTTTCCCTGATGCATTCTGCAAGGGCCAGGGGAAATCAGAAAGGATGCTCAGACTGCTCCCTCCTCGGAGAAGGGAGGAAGTTTGTGCCACCCTCGCTCAGCTCTGCACCCTCCCCTTGTCCGGGCAGTGGCAAAATGCCATGAGAGCTCCGAATGGGTTTGCCAGCATCACATTTTCCATCAGCCGTGCGTTGCCCGGAGCCGTGGGGGTGCTGTGTGCCTGTCTGGCCTGTGCAGTCTGGCTTTAGTCTAGCCTGTTAATGCAGGGCGACCTGTATCCAAAGCAGCACATGTTTCAGTGGCCGTGGATCCGTCTCTGACAGCTCACCTGAAGGGCTGGGCTTCCTGCTTAGTTCAGGACAGTCAGGCACGTGTTGTCCTTGCAGACTTGCTAGTGAGGGAGGAGTCATGGGGTGAGGATGGGTCTTCCGCAACGTGCCCCTTTTCTATTGCTGTCCGTTTCTAATTCTCTTTCTAATTGCAAAGTCTGCGCTCGGCTGAGGGGGCGGGCAGGCAGCCGGACAAGCTCAGCAATCAGCACCAGGAGAGCAGAGCCGGGTGGCAGCAAAACACTTCATTAAGTTGGATTTTCTCCGAGAAAATCTCCAGCCCCCTCGGGAGAAGTCAACATCTCGGGGATTCGTTTATGGGCCGAAACGAGGCTTTGCTCTTCCAAGCGGCGCTAAAAGCTTTGGAATTAACAAGACCGAAGCAGAACTTTGGAGAAATTTGGATCTGAATCTAAACCCCGTGGCCCGTTTTTTCCTGCTACGCTCATCCCTGTAGTTTGTGTCTCAGCGAAGTCTGAGGCCATCCAGCAGTATCATTTCACTCTAGCATGGGCCATGCATACCCTTAGCTCTAGAATGTAGTTTGGGAGCAGAATGCGATCCCTGACTTCACTGGGGCATTCCCTGTTCCCACCGTTCTCTACAGTCTCTGTTCACGTTGCACTGGCTAGAAGCCTGCAGGCTCCACTATTGCTGCAATGAACCAGTCCCCTTGTAGTTAAACACCATTAGCACCAAGCTAAGCCTGGGACCTGCCCCCCCCCCCGCTATTCAGGGTCACTGAGCTCCTGTGAGAGGCCCTCCCTATAGGGCAGGTGCAGGTTTAAGTCTCTGGGGCTGTCTCCTGCCCTCTCCATGCTATAAAGACTGCCTTGCTGTGTGCAGACTGCATGATTCCAGCTTGCTGGTGGCTTGCAAAGAGCAGATCTCGCCCTGGCTGAATGCTTCTGGCAGTGGCTCGGCCATGGCTTTGGTGCTAGGCCCAAGCTTTCTGTGTGCTCTCTAGGGGCTAATCACCATTGCCATCTCAAAGGTCTGCACCCAAGGAGTATAGGTGCTGGACAGACTTACCCCTCTGTACTCAGCAGTGTGAGCTGCTTCCCTAGCTGAGAAGAGGAAAGATTAACCCTTAAAAGACTGGTTCTTGGAAGGAAGCGTCCAAGTCTCCCAGCCCCCAGGCTCCAAATTGTTAACTTGCTGATGCATGTCTCCCTTTCTCTCCCTCTGGATTGTAGCTGAGAGATGTTCTATGTGTAAGCGGGGGAATGATCCCGCTATTGTGGGGAACTTTCCTGGCTTCTGCACTACCCCGGTGAAGTGGGCTAGCGAAAGGATCCGAGTCCTCGCTCCCACTTCCCTTACCCAGAGGCCTCCCTGCCCTTGAGGGCTCCCCTTCCACTCTCCTGTCTGGCAGAGTCCTCGTAACCCCGACAAGGCTGGGCCCAGAATTCCTGGGGGGCTTGACCCCCAACCCTGCTGTGGTCACCCAGGACAGGGGCTAGGGTGTCCCCACTCCGGGGTACTCTCTCTGCACTGGGCACCTCCCTGACCCACTGATCATTTCATACAATTTAAAGCAAATACAAGTTGTTTAATTAACAATTAATTAAAAAAAAAGAATAAGGAAAAATGGGAAAGGTTAAAGGAAAACACATCACCCTGCTCTGTGGCAGGGAACATCACAAACAGTGTCTCTGGAACGTCAGGGCAATTCACCGTCTGTTTCTTGTAGGCCTCCTCCTCAGGCCCTGGCTGTGCTGCAGAGACGCTGTGGGTTGGACACTTGCTCTGGTGGTGGCCACACGCTCTCAGGCTCTAGGTGGCAGGACCCTTTTTCCCAGCGTCGCCCCTGCCCGGTCAGGGTTACGATCCCCCTCCAAGTCTGGCCTGCAGAGCCTCTTGGCTGAGCCGTCTCCCTGTGCTGGTCCCACTGCCCAGGGTCCCTCTCCTCTCCCCAGCTGCTCACCGCACCCAGCTCCGGTCTGCTCCAGCCCCAGCTCCAGCTCCACGCTGCCTCAGCACGGCTGCTGCTGCTGCTCTGCCTCCAGCTCCCTGGGCTGCTTCTCTGGCCCCTCTGGCTCTGGTGGCTGCAGCTCTGCTTCCAGCAGCTTAGCTCGGGCCCCTGCTCTCTCCTTAGCTCGGCCCCACTCTGTCTGACTCAGGCAATTCCAGCTCAGACATGGAGGATGGGACCCCCCCTGGCCTCCTGACTCCCTGATTAGCCTGCCCGCCCTGTCAATCAGGCTGATCTGGAGCATTGGCCTCTCCCCATTGTTCCTGGGGACTGTCAGTCTCAGGCTCCTGATTTGCCATCGACCCTTCCCCTTTTAGTGCTGGGAGCTAGCCAACCAAAACACCCCCACTGAATGTTAGTAAGGGGGCAACAGTCCCCTTACATATGCATCCAGCCCCTGATGAGACCAGCGCCCCCCCCCCATCAGGTTTATCGCCCTCAGAAACGCCTGCATAACACCCTCCGCAGGCGCTGCGGAAACCGGATTAACCCCAGCGCCAAGAGCAAAGCACGTACGTGCTGCAGAAATGGAATCCAGGGTCGCTCTGCGGCGGAGCCACTGCTGTCTGTGAAGACACTGCCCTGTTCCCTGCATGATATGCCCACAGAGAATCTTACTGCTGTGACCCCAGCTTGGCTCTGTTCCGAGCACCGACGCACAGGATGCTGCAGAAAGTCATCTCCTTGGAGCCAGGCCGAGGAGGGGACTCTCCGTGCAGGCTGTGTCGTGCCACTTGTTAAATGCACAGGCCTGATAATGATCAGGAAGCAGAGAGGGGACTCTGAACTCTGAGCACGAACTCTAAAATCCCAGCCTTAATTAAGCCTGCTGCTCCGGTGTTCGTAATTGGGCCTTACTAGCTGATTCCCAGGCACACCTGGAGGACGCAGGGAAACGCTACCAATTTGAGGGCATAAAGACGGTTCAGCACATGAGCGCATTAAGCTTTTGCTTCTGGAGGAGTGGGTTTAACTGCTGGTTTAGATCACAAAGAAATTGAGTTTGGTGGCATCTCATCTTCCTCCACCTCTGTCTTAATCACAAAACCGCAGCACGGAAGGACAGGGGAGCCCATTTCTGTTTGAAAGGCTCAGGAGCAGAGCAGCCGGGTGTGCCGCAGGTCAGGACTGAGGTGCATCGGGGAGCAGGAATGGGACTGCAGGGGGCGCTGCAGGACAGGATTGAG